TTTCTTACAATGCGTTATCAAAATTAACTTGAACATATTTTTTGCGCAAAACGGAAGAACTGGGTAAATTTTCTTCCTTAAAATAAGTTTTAAAAAAATTTCTAAACAGAGGATTATTCAATTTGTGAATTGGAATATTACAAGATACAAATAAATTGCACAAATCTCTATTAAATTTGTCCTGATGATATAAAGTGGTTCCTTGGTCTGTTATTATCTGTTGAATCAATCGGTTTGGAAATTGTTTTCTGGATAAGTGACTTGTTGTTCCTAAATGTTGATCCACTTGAATTTTTTTATTACAGACAATTTGCAAAAAGAGATCTAAAGTTATCGTCAAATATGAAAGAATTTTTTTTTTAATCCAAAAATACGTGAATTTTTATATATAAAAATAAAATCTAGATGATTTTCAAAAAATCTGGCTGGTAGAAAGAAGCTTTTGTGTAAAAATAAAAAAAAACATTTCCTTATTTAAAAAAAAGAAAAACTATAATATTGTTGATTTTTTAAAAAGTAGATGAAATCCGAATAAACAATTTAGTATAGCTCTTATATCATATCTTGATTTTATTTCTTTTTACTTCTAAAATAGGATTGAGCTGGCTTTGAAAAAAGTTAATAGTGTGAAAAATACAACAAAAATGTCAGTTATCCTTACCAGTTTATCGCAGGTGGAGCAAAAACGTGATTCTCAAATCACTCTTTCCATAGATCCATTACTTCATCATTTACATTTTTCCCGTAGCCTGTTTCGGCATTTTTAAAATGAACGCTTTTACTTTCACACTAACGGCACTTTTGCAGGAACACAACCAATAACAATACTTAATCAAAAGAAATTTTGAATAATACTGTTACACAAAAACAGATAAATTTTATGAAGCCATTTACTATCGCCATCATCCCCTAATTGCCCTAATCCTTAATACCTAGCAGTTTAGAAAGCAAAATCCCCACTTGGTTAATATTTCCTGGTAAAATGCAGGTACAATTGAAAAATATTGTAATGTTTACAAAATAATGATAAATAAGCAATATTTTATTTTTAGATATGCATTATTATTTTAGATATCCAATATAAAATTCTGCACTAAATATGCAGGCATGCACTTTATATGCATTGTGCATATAATCCAAGCTCTACTTAATAATTATATATCTAAAATCACATTCCGAAAAAGATTAAATAATAATAATCACCGGTAAATTACCGGTTCGGTTACTAAACAAAATTAAAGCGGTCTAAAAATTATGCGGGAGTATAGTTTGAGAGTTAACATAAAAGTGTTAAACCAAAAATCACCAAAATCTTATGCCGCGTTTGAATATCCACATCGGATGCATCTGAGATGTGAATTTTGTTATCACGAGATAAAGGATTAGATTTGAATGTAGATGTAATAAACAAACGCTCTAAACTTAATTGGTCACGTGATAAAATAACAATGATAAGTTAGAAGTTTATATTTTTTAAATTTGAATTTTGAAACTGAAAATCAACCTAAATTTATATTCTAAACAAAAATTAAATACACTAATCACTTTTATATTCACGCTAGCATAAATAAAGGATAAATCAATAATCTTGGCTTCACAGAACACTTACTTTCTGGCATGGAACGAACATTTCATTCACATCTCATTTCAAATCGAGATGTAAAAAATGTAATCTAGACAGCTACATCTCGGATAAACAAACGCAGATGTAGATGTAGTAGATGTGTCCGACGTGGATAAACAAACGCTCGAGATGTAAAAAATGCATCGGATGTGGATATTCAAACGCAGCATTAAGCGTTGTTAAAACCAGTTATATCGCTTTAAATTGGATATTGGGGTCTATTCTGTAACAATTCCTTTATATTTAATGGCCTTTAAAAATATTGGCGGCCTATAAAAATATGTTCGTATTCGTTAATTTACTTCTGTCATTATTTAAACAGATTTCTCTAAGATAGTCCTCTAATGTATTTTAAAGATCCGTTTAAATAATGACAAAAGTAAATAAGAAAATATTTTTAAAGGCCGTTAAATATAAAGGAATTGTTACAGAATAGACCCCATTATCAGAGATATTATTAATTTAGTTTTGCATAACGTCGACACATAAAGTTTGCATTCTTCTAGGATATTTGAGTAGGTACCTCTCTGTTGTCATAAAACCAAAGGAATAACAAATCCGTAACAAATCGATGCCAGTGGGAGACAATTTACAAAAATTCCACATGACAGTGTGCATTGTTCGAAAGTGTTACTGGGACATATTATTCAGTTTAAGGTTTAAGTCGGCGGTACCAAAAAGCTCTCCATAAAGAGATGAGTTGAGAATAATTTATACAAAATAATTTACTATAAAAAGTGTTTAAAAATTATTATTTAACTTTTGAAAATCATCAGTACTCGTAAATACGGATTCAGTTCATTAGATGTCTCTTTATTTTTATCAAAAATTGTCATATTTACTTTCCTGTATTCCGTAAGTAGAGAAAGTAGGTATATGAATTATGATTTTTTTATTACCTAGAGTTATCGACAAATTTTTACGTTTTTGGGTACTCTAAATCCGTTTTGACCACTTTCACGAGACATACATATATGTCTGTGTGTCTGTGTATGTGGATAAAGGAAAAAACACCAAATTGTAAACTTGTGCTTGCGGTGAGCTGATTAGATTTTAAGCATAGTCGGAGCATCTGGGGTTACTTTATTGATGGTAATTTTTCTAATTTAGTGTATTTAGTATTTCTGTTATTTGATTATAGAAGACAATCCTTTCAACAATAGTTTTTCAATACATGACTTCTCTAAAATAAACCGTGACCGTAATCGAGAAATTTTAAGAAATATGCTAATTTTGAAATTTTCATTATTTTCCCTGGCAATAAAGATAATGAAATTTTTTTTTTAGTATTTTTTAATTTTATTTTATATTCTAAATCAATATTTTTGATAACTTTACACAAAAGCCATGTTGGACACATCATATATTTTTATTAAAGAATTGAATGAGGTACGGTAGGAGATATAAATAGGTAGGGGAGATGTATGTATAGTGGCCACCCGAGGTAAAATGGCCACGAGTAATTTTTCTTATCCTATTAGCGCCATCTGGGCGGTAAAACGCTGAATCGTTGCAAGCGTCATTACCGTCAACCAGGAAAAAAATATAGAAACCATCACATCTACACATCAGATGATATCTGCATAATTTTGCACGTGCCTGATGTAGTGTTGAGGTTGAGATCAGTCAGCTGTGCAACGCAATTGATAAATTCGAGAGTGCTGAGTTTTTGCAAAGCCTAAACATATGGTATTAGGTATGTATCCATCTAATATAATTGATGAATATACGAAGTACATTTTGTAGGTTATGATATTTCTCAAGAGTTGCAAGATGGGTTAAAGTGGCCACAAAGTGTCCACTATACCGTGTAAATATTGGAGTTGCCACTTCAACCCATCATCAATTTTCAGAAAATGCCAAGGAAGTATATGAGAACTTCACACCAGGGATCATGGGATCCTGAGGCTATGACACAAGTAATGAAAGCCATGAAAGAACAACATATGCCATTCCAAACAGCCAGTAAAATTTATAAAGTTTCCCGAAATACTCTCAAAAGAAGAGTTCTAGATAAGAATAGAGATGCTAAAGGGAATATTAAAGTCTTAGGCGCTATTCGTCCAGTTTTTACTTTGGATCAAGAAGTAGAAATAGTTCAAAATATCCAGGAACTAGAAACGCGTATGGTCTCACTTGCATATCAGATAGCTGAGAAAAACAGCTCAAGGCATACTTTTAACAGAGAAACGCAGCTTGATGGGGAAGACTGGTTAAAGGGGCCTTCACACTCCTGAAGCTACTAGTGCAGCCCGAACTAGAGCCTTCAATAAGCCTAGTGTTGATAGGTTTTTTGTACTTTTAGATGAATGCATTAATCGGGTTTTTAATGTAGATGAGACGGGACTTACAACTGTGCAATCTAAATCGAGCAAAATTTTTGCGCTAAAAGGCCGAAAACAGGTAGGCAGCCTCACATCTGCAGAAAGAGAAGTTTTATCAACAGTTGTCGTTTGCATGTCTGCTGGTGGCTCATTCATTCCCCCAATGATAATTTTTCCTAGAGTAAGAATGAAAGAATAGTTAATGGACAGAGCTCCACCTGGTACTGAATTCGTCTGTCATAAATCAGAATGGATGCAGCTGCAAATTTTCAGTAAGTGGTTTGAGCATTTTCTTAAGCATGCGAAGCCTACAGCCAAAGATCCTTGCTTGTTAATACTAGATGGGCATGTTACACATACAAAAAACTTGGATTTTATCAATATGGCGCGTGATAATTTCGTGACTGCGCTGTGTCTGCCGCTCCACTGTAGTACTGTAGTATTGTACAGCCACTTGATGTGGCATTTATGGGGCCCTTAATACGTTTTATGTTCAAGAGATCGAAAAATATCTTAAGAATAATCCAGGAAGAACCGTATCACAATTTTAAGTTAGCAAATTATTTTGTGCTGCGTATCTTCGAGCAGCAGTGCCTACAACAGGTTTAAATGGATTCAGACAATGTGGGATTGTTCCGTATAATCCGCATGTGTTCAATGATGCAGATTTTGCTGCAGCTGAAGTTACTGATAGAGATATTGAAGTCAGAGAAGATCATCCGAAGAAAGAAAACTCAAATGATAATGGCAACCAAGCAAATGGTGTAGCAGATCCAATTCCTTCAACCTCGCAAACTAACATACGACCTGTTGATCAAAACATGAATGATATTCAAAATAGTGGACCAAGCTGCTCGGGGTTAATATAAAACGGAAACGCAGAGAAATTATAGGAAAAGAGGTTCTACCGCAATAATCACAGACAGTTCTTTTAAGAATGAGCTGGATAGCAAAGGAATATAAAAAACCAGAAGCAGTTAAAAGGCAACTTTTTGGTAGTAAGAAAACTAAAAGCAAGGTTCCGAGAAAGAAATCAAAAATTCCTGTTAAAGATGACACAAGCAGTAGTGACGATTATGCGCAGGAAGATGTCGAGTGTCTCTACTGCTCATGCCTTTCCTCAAAATCCAAAAAAGGGGAGGGCTGGATATGCTGCTCAGTGTGCACATGAAGAATATGATGGATGCGATGAAGACGACGATGTGTTTACATGTGAACTATGTTCTTAAGCTGAATTATATGCGTAATAAATGCTAAAGTGCTGTTTTATCAGATGTGAGATTGTTCTGAATACTTTTATCATGGTCACTCTGTTCCAAAATATGGGTGATCACTTTGCCCCGCTGTGTGGGGTAAAGTGGCCATCTGTCAATATTTTGCAAAATATTTTGTAATAATATAAAATTTTAAATTAGGGCCTTACTTTTTTTACTTGACTCTAATACTGTTTGAGCTGCAATGCGTACTTAGTTTCATTATCATATTGGTCTGTATTTCAAATCACGGGACTTTTGAACCTTAGGGTGGCCACTATACACACATCTCCCCTACATCTGCACCTACGTCTACAATTTCTAGATTATTTAGGATCAAATGGGAATATATTAAATTAAGTCTAACTAAAAACAGATATTGAGACCTCACAATAAGTAAACGCAAACAATTTTATAAACAATTACAAAGTAAACATTGTTTCCCTCTTATGAACCCAATGCGTAGGATATAAGATACTGTCACGTTTATTTATTTAATTTATTTACACTAAGGCAATAATTTATTTATTAACTTAATTTATTTATACTTAATAGGTACTACTAATTTACATGGACTTTTACTTATACACTAATTTATATCTACAAGATTTATATGTACTAATCGATCTCTTAGCCTGAACTTTCTCCGACTGCAAACATGGTCTATTTATTGCTATGACAGCAATGCCTTCAGCATTTTTTAGAATGATACGTTGTATCTGGCTGCTTCCGGTAAGTTCTAGAATATTCTAGATTTTGAAAGTCAATGACGATTGACGATGAATGAGCATAGTTGTCTGTAAGGGGGGTATTCGAAGGTTTTTCTTAATTCAAATATTCTTGGTAATGAGAAAATAGAGATCGTAAAAGATCGAAATAAAGCAGAAAGGGACTAAAGAGATTATAGCACAAACTGTTTGAAAATGGCTCTCACGACAAAAACTATGGTACTTTAATAATTTTATGAAGTGTTTTAAAAGAGAATTATCTCAATTAATTATAGTAAAAAAGCCCATTAAAACTAAAAACTAAAACTGTAATGTACCGACTTAGGTATGTGAATAAAAGCTATCCGATATATTCAAAAGATTATCCTTTTGTAAAATAATAATTAAAATATAATAAAGAGAATTAAAACACAAATATACTAGAAGAAAAAATATTAAATATGTCGATATTACTTAATATCTTGATGCCAATATTATTTTGTGCAGTAATATAAAACAATACCATTATAATATTCAAAATGTTTAAATTGCTACTAAAAGAATCTTAAGAAAATTATGAAAAGTTAACTTTTCAATTTTATAAGTGAAAGAAACACCAAAAAGAATGATGGTCCATTGGATATTTTATAGGCCAAACTTTTGTGAACTTCTGGTATATCCAGTCCCCAACCTGCTACATTTACTAGGACCTTTCCTCAAAGGGCCATTACAAATAAACTACAAGCCATGTTACTCTATTCTTCTATTCAAAGTAACTTTTATAGGTACCTACTTTTGCGAAAAAATCTTTTGATAACCATGGGAAAGCACTTGACACTTGATACTTCTTCTTTGACAAAAGCCTTTTTGTGAAGGTGGACCGATTAAGTTAAAAAATTCTTTAAAAATGCATAAAAACTGATATTCTTATAAAAAGGTTAATAAAAAAAATTGATATTGAATTTCAATGTTATTTCTTCATATAGTGCGTACATATTTTTGGGGTTCATACTTGTTCGAAAATATGCTATTTTCTATTTATGGGTATATCTTCAGCATTACCAAAGGGGTATTACAATTCTTAATATAATGGTACGAGCAGTCTTAGGAAAGGGGTAAAACAAAATTGATTTTACAAACTATTTTATTTTTTATACACAATTTTTTTTTTCTTTATTAAACTGTGACCATTTTGGCATATTACTATCGTGAACTAAACTAAACCAAACTAAACATATATACATAGTCATTCACTAAGATCGTTCTGAAAATACTTAGTACCGAAAACAAATTGGACAGGTGATTAAAAAAACCAATATATTTTCGGCAAGAAACAAAGGAGTCAGTCAGACCATAATAATTTTTGAGGATCCCATCTTTGAGCAGCCACCCCCCGCAGCTAAAATGATCCGACAAAAGCAAAGTGTCAGAGGAAACTGTAAAGTGCCAGGTCAAAAGGCATTTTAAGGCCCATTTTCGGCAGAATGTCCTTTGTGTAAACATGTGCTGGTTATCGCTTACAAAGAAAACACGATATTAAATAATTCTAAACTGAGAATGAAGTTTGAAATGATATCTGTCGTTCGTTAATAGCCTAATCAAATTAGGAAGGTTTGAGGAATGTCAAAAAATGTCCGTAATATAATTTCATAAATAATTTGATAATGCGATTAATGTGTTTAATGAGGAATATTAAAATTTAATTAATAAAGAAAGCATGAATATATATTTTATGTTTCTCTATGGTAAGTTTCCGAAATGTTGATGGAATGATGTCTTGGAAATATTTAGGTATTTTTTACACTAATTATTGAAGCCCCTACCTATTCGTGCAATCAAAAAAAAATTTACCCTACCCTATTTCAACACTGTTTTCTACATTTCCGACTATTCTGTACGAAAACGCAAAAAATCTCGTCTGGTCTTCTGTGCGTGCAAATATATGTGCAGCGACCCGATAACTCTACTTGCAGTTTTGATTTTATTTGATACTTTCTTTCAGCTGAGAACCCTATTGATTTTCAGAGTCTTCGGTTTAACTCTAGCGCTTTAAATATCATCATTTTTAAAATGCAATATATTTATTATGGAGCTTATTTTATGCATTTTACTAGATAATCATGCTTGTTAAGTTATAAATCACTAAACTCCCCAGCAGTGGAACGCTACACGATCCTAGGGACCTTATAAAAAATGGCACGGCTGTGCGATGTTTGGAGGCAATACAGCGCATGCATATTACGGGGTATTGGGAGAAAATCCATCGAAAATTATATAAATGCGTCATTGCTTGCCTATATCAATTATCAGGACTGGATCGCCTCGCCCGCCTGTTTGTTGCTTGCTTGTTGATTTGAGTTTAGAGTGATTTTTAAATTATTTAGTGATCTAAGTACATATTTGCTTTGGTTATTTGATTTTGTGTTATTATTTGTACTTTTCTGTTGTTTCTACATATCGTCGACTTAGGATGCAACTGGCTTGACTCCAAAATCGAAAATTATTCAGGAGATGCAAAAAACAACTCGGAAAGTGAAAGACTAATTGGACTGTTTTCGAATAAGCGGGAGATAGGTCAATTTCGGCTTGTATTGTGATAATGGATAATGGAACCAACTTCAAAGGTGCAAGTAGATGAGTACTTGAAGGTTTAGAGGAACTTTAACTGAAGAAAGTACTTGAGGATGTAACAAGAAGAGGGATAACCTGGAAAATTTAACTCTCCAATTTCTCCATGAAAACGAGGAAGCTGGGAGCGTCTAATAGGTTACTTCAAGAGAGCCCTTTCGGCGATTATGAGTGACAGACATCCTACAGACGAAGTTCTTCAAACTTTTTTCGCTGAATGTGAATATTATAATAAATAGTCGTCCTTTAATACACGTATTTGATTAGCATTAGCCCAAATGATATCCTAATTCTGGAAAATAATAACCTTATCAGGTTTTTTCCAAAGACTACTCATTTAAAAAAAAAACAGTGGAGATTAGCTTAATATTTAATAGATAAATTTTGGAAAAGTTGGTTAAACGCGTATTTAGCTACACAAATTACCAGAAGCAAATGGAATGACATAAAAATTTGAAAGAAGGAGTTGTAGTTTTAATAAATGAAAATGATTTTCCAAGGGAGCAGTGGCCACTTGGAATAATAACCAAAATATACAAGACGTGTAGTCGATGTTAGTACTGCTCACGGAATTTATAGATGACTTGCTAGAAGATTGTTTGAATATAATACTTGTGTTGATCAAATTTATATCAACACCGTAGGGGACTATGTTCAAAAATATTAATATACCCTGTATATTATTATATATTTAGAACATACTTTGTTGTCAGTTTAATAAAACAGTAGTGTCAAAAGGATTTACGAGTTTTCTTGTAAAATATTGATGTAATTACCAAATAATTACTGGTAAAAAACTTCTAAATTGGTTTAGCCTAATAGTTTAAACTAATGCTTCACAAACCTAAAAATTCAGCGTCTCAATATTTCTCAACCTCTTTCGGCCTTGCGTTCAAAATCAAATCGTTTCTTTTATGTTACGAGTTTGCCCGTGGCTTCTCAGTCCAGATAAGGTGTAAACCACCAAATTAGCATCTTTCGAATTTATATTGTTTTAGATCACAAAATATGGGTAGAAAAATGACAAATAAAACAACAATTATTAAGAAATCATATATGCGTTTAAATTTCACATTTATTGGTACCAGTTTTATATTATTAAAATATGTATCTGTTTTTTATGAAATAACATCAATATGTACCCATAGTGTTGTTATGCGGTTCGAACCCCATTTTTTGCCCATTTCGACAACGCTATAAACAGTATAATTAATGTCACTCAAATGATGACTTTTATAGTAAAATAAACATATAGGTAGATATGTAGGTAGGTATTAGGAGGCATTTCAGTTTAATCAAAAGTGTCCGCTTTGAAAATTTATTTATTATAATGATTTGATTCTATGAACATCCGATCTTCAGTGGAATAAATAATGACCCTAAATCATATTCAAATCCTTTGTCCTTTTATTGAGTTTTCTTTACAAAAATTACGACCCGAAAAAGCACAATCTTTTTAAATATAGTGTCTGTCCTGTAGTTTTATGAGTACCATAAGAAGCGAAATATAGGGCACAATATACATTAGATCCTGAAATCTTTGGCTAGTATAGTGAGTTTTAGAAGCTAACCACAGAGTGTATATTATTTATATCTAGGTACGACCATTATTGAAAATATTATAATAATTGGGTGTACACT